AAATTAATGACAGCCTGTTGAGAGGTTGTAAATCACCTTAATTTTTAATTCTTCCCAACGCCTAGGGCATATCTCCAACAGAGACGGTTAAAGTAGCAGAGGCTACTAAATGCCGCCTAACCATTCGATTTCGATTTTTTTCACAATTAATAAATAACTTAAGTGAATACAGGTCGAAACACCTTCAGAGAATTAATAATGTTTCTTTTTGTTTGATTAAAAATGTAGGTCATATTACTAAGGTCAGGCATAAGATATTTTGGCCTTTTAGATTACACTTTTCTTTTTAATGAGTTTAATTGAACTGCCTATCTTTTCTCCACACTATATTTGACTGTAATATACATGTAAACGTTCTAAATGCTTATATACATTTGCTTGTATGTATGCAAATTTCGTATCTATTTATACACTGCCCTACCAGAGTGAAGGAACAGAGTATTTTTGAAGGCTCATCATTACAAAAATATCAGTAACATTTAAATTAACAGTTTATATGCATGATAGTAAAAGTTTAAGAAAATATATGCAAAAACTTTTATTTTATAGAAAGGAATAGGAGTTCCAGAAAATAGGCAAAATTTGTAAGTTTTTTAGAGTGTTGATCTTCAATTGTTATTAGCAATTTTGTTGATAGCATCTATGAGAGTCTATCAATGTCCAGAAGTCGTTTGCCCGGTTTGTTGAAGTGGCGGGCGATCGGACGGATGGAAATAGGGATGTCAGAAGCTGATGCTGCTAGACGTCTCAAAGTCTCTCGTAGTGTTGTCTACAGATTATGGAATCAGTTTGAATTCGAGGATTCTGTGTCTAGAAGACATGTTCCAGGCAGACCTAACGTTACAACACCTGCGGGAGACCGTTATTTAGCTCTTTCGGCCCAAAGAAGGAGTAATATTACTGTGCCTCAGCTCAAGGCAGATCACTGAGTGGCAACAGGAACAAGAATCTCAGCTACTACAGTGCGCAGACGCATGCAGAATACAGGGCTGTTTGCAAGACGACCAGTCGTTTGTGTCCGGTTGACCCAAGGAAACAGAGGTGCCCGTGAACATGTCTCCTGGACAAGTCAACAATGGGAGTCTGCTCTCTTCATAGACGAGTCTAGGTTCACATCGGAGAGTGATTCAGGTCGTCAGCTGATTTGGAGGGAACAACGTACCAGATACAACCAATCCCACAATTGGAAAGACACAGTTACAGGGATGGTGGAATAATGGTTTGGGCTGTTATCTCTCTTGGTGGAGAGATACCAGCCAAACCATAAACCATGGAAGAACTTTGACCGGTGCGGAATATCGAGACGAGATCCTTGATCAATATGTTCGCCCATATGCCGCTGCTAATGGTCCTGGATTTTTTCTGACGGACGACAACCGCACCGGGTTACTGAAGAATATCCTGAGGGTCACAGTATGGAGCGGATGAAATGGCCAGCTCAATCCCCAGCCCTGAATCAGATAGAGCATCTTTGGGACTACTTTGGGAGTTAGGTTGCTGCTTTAAGTTCTCTTCCAAGGTCGTTAGATGAGCTTGAACGAGGATTACTCCATGTCTAATCTTTGCTTCTAATTTCACTAATCGACAACTTAATTGACAGCACGGAACGTCGCTGCCGCAAATGTATTGCAGCTAGGGTGGACACATTCTTCCTAAAAAAATTGGATATACTGTTTCTCCAAGGCTGGATTTCTCTGCCAAAAGTGCAATTTTTTATTGTATTTCGTGTTTGGTTTGAACTTTAGAAACATTTTCTGTCGCATTTATTAAAGAACTGTTTAGTGAACATGTCCTCTAAATTTCTGGTTTCTATTTTGCTTCATTCTCAAATTAGACACAAAAAAAACATACTGTTCCTTAACTTTTGGAGGGCAGTGTATTTTTGCAGAGCCTGTAGCTTATTCCACAACAAAATTTGTGTATGAATTAATACAATGTTTTCTGCCTATGCATAACTTACTGCATTATCTGTAATATTAAATGATGACGAGTCTGTTTGTGGCAAACGATGGCAGTCAAGCCTCCAAGTTTAGTACAAAGCGATCTGAAAGCAAGCAGTGGCAACATTGTTCGAAATAAAACACTTTTATTATTTACACTGATTTAAAGAAAAATACATTTAAATCAGGCGATGTCTAATTAGAAATATTAAATATTTTTATGAAATAACGCTAACTAGACACATTAAAATCATTATATATTTTATTTGGTTTATGATAACTATTTTAGGGGGCTAGCAGCGCAAGCAGCTAATATCTATACAAATTAAAATTAAAAAAGTGCTTATCCATTAAAAAATTCCGATCATATAACTCTAATAATTTCTATCCTTGTTGGCTAAAATAAATTACCTTTCAGACTAGAGCAATTACAATTACATGTTGCTTATTTACTAGTTTACTTTCTTTGAATGACATGGAGAAGTAATTATCGATCAAAACATTCATAATTAATTAACAATTGCTTTACTTGTGGGAAAAAGAAATAATATGTAGTTATAATTTTATATAAATTTTTATAATATAACTTTTTTTTATTTGAAAGTGAAATAAAACACAGAAGAAGAGTGAAAGTTAAAATCAAAATTAAAATTAAAAAAAAAAAGAAAAAGAAAAGAAAAGAGGTGGTAGAAAGCATAGAGTTATAATATTATTATTTGAAAAGTATTTTGAAAAATTAATATCAAGATAGTTAAAAAATTTCTCATTCAAATATTTTCCTCACAAGAAAAATAATCAATGAGGTAAGAGTTAAAATTAGGAAGAAATTGACATTAGCAAATTACTGAATGACAGTATACGTCAAAATACAATATACGAACATATCAAAAATCACATGCTGAGATGAATGTTGATTTTTTGCAGCTATTTTCGCGTAACCGTATAAATGAATTCTTTGGTATTACTCTTTATTAGAATACATTTTCATAATTTTTATCATTTTGTTAAAATTTTAAATTATTGCAATTAAAATTTAAAATTATTCCGTATAAATAATCACCAAAAACTGATTTAAGAAACCGAGGCTACGTAATTTCTTATTTTATTGAACTGGGCTTCTATGGTTTAGACCAGAGGTCCCCAACCTTTTTGTGCCTAAGAGCACATTCTAGAATATCCGTTGGACGGCGGGCCCCATTTACTTTTTCATGGTGAATTTATAGTTGGATATTACGTGCACATAAAAAAAGAGATCGGTCGCAGTTCGCTTTGTGCTGGTATCTGTGCTGGACGTAATTTCTATTTCATTAAAAATGAGAAAACTTTCACATTAAATTTTATTGAGAACTAAAACATTTTTTATTATGATCACACAGCGGCGGGCACGCTTAAACGATCGGCGGGCGCATTTGCGAAGACACCAGGCATTTCCCAATTCTGACGACTAGATCCATATTGGTTTCAATAGAGCACTCGTAGATTAGGCTTTTCATATGGCCCCACAGAAAAAACTCCAAACCCGAGAGCCATATATAAAAGCGAAACTCGAAAGTAAATGGGAATTTTATATAGTATTAATTTCTTTTTAAGGTTAGCCGCTATGTATATTATTATTATTATTAAGATATAAATTTCTTCTCTTGATAAAGAGGTCAATTTTGTTGAAGTTTTAAGTACTCAAATTTCTCTAAACAAATTCATTTGCTGAATTCATTAACTGCAGACTTAACTTTTATTAAAATAGTAGCTTCGACTCAAAGTTAAAAAATTCTACTCTTAGCCTGGAGTTCATTGCAAACAGTATGACATTATGCATTTTCAATAATAATCTGAAACAAGTCAGTGCAGGACTGTTATTTCATTTGCAATCAATGCCGGTAGGAACCTGACTATTGTTTACTTTCAAAATTTGAAGGTGTGTTTCTTTAGAAACTTAACACCTACAATAAAACTTTAAGGAGCAGCAGTTTGTTACACTGTGCAATAAAATCCCGACTATTCGAATTTCCATTAACCGATGTGTTGCATCTTAACTCTGGACTACCATCACTGTTACATCTAAACTCAGGACTTTCAGCGCCATTACATCAAAACTCTAGAATAATCTGAACAAAAAATGTAAATAGAACTCTATTTTGCATTGAACTAGAACTAGAACAAGAGCTAAAAAGATTGTTATGAAGGAAAGCGCGTAATGTTCATGTAAACGTAATCTAATAATTATATATAAATGTAATATATATTCTTCTTGTGTATTTACTAAAAGTGGCAGTGTGAATTATTTGACCAATCTTTGAATTAGGATTTCTGTTCGGCCACCTGCAAGATAGAAAAAAGTAAGAGATTTCTTTTTGCCTTCAGAATTCTGTTGGAGAACTACACGGTATTCTGCATAACCGACGCGGAATTGTAAAGATCGCTTTCCTTATAAATACAAAATTCTTTGGCCTGAATATCATACCGTAGTACATAAAAACAAGCATGATTGTTCATGCAATTTGTCTCAAAGTAGAAGAGGACTATTGCGCTTATTTCCAATTTCAATCATTAGGAAGCTCCGAATGTAGATTTACTGTGTTAATTAAGCTTATGGCATAACGAATTTTAATACCTTAACACATATTGCCATATTAATTAGTGCTGATTTCACCTGTAAATTTTTATGAAAAAAATTATTCTAAAAAATTACAATTTAAATAAAAAATATGCTTTACGTTAAAAAATAAAACTTAAATTTACAAACCTGATTATTTATCTATTAATTTAGCTATTTTTTGATAATTGTGATTCCTACACATTTTCGTTACATAAATATGCTTAAAAATTATATCACAAAAATTAAAAGGACCTGTTTTATTCAACACCGTCTCTCTTCTTCCAAAAAGTGTAACTACTTTCTATTTTGCCTAAAATTTCAATTACCTGAGATCGCATCAGTTCACATTACCTCAGAATGGGATTTTACTGATCCGGTACGAGTAATCATCAGTTAATGAAATGTCATAGCAAAAATCAACAAACATCCTAACAATTCATACAAATATCAGAAATGATTCTTACCTGACTTGACAACATCCGCCACTTCGATACTTTGCACCTTGGCCATGTAGCCGAGCACTGAAAATATAACCAGTCCTGCCAGAATACTGGTCAAAGGGTTCACAATGCAAAGTATGATAGAATCTCTATAAATAAAATCAAACATAAAGAAATTTCTAATCTACTCACGGAAATAATTTCTTAATACCTTCCTTCTATATTCAGAAATCTGTATTGTGAAATTATCCGTTGTACTTCGAAATGCTGCTAGACGTCGTTGTCTGTGGCTTTCAAGAACTACTAGTCGGAATATTTGAAGAAGTAACTTGAAGAATGTAAGCACTCATAACTTTATTTTCATTGGCGACATATGCACAATTTTCCACATCTTCCTAATATATAAACTATGGATGTTTTAGATAGCATAGCTGCGACAGTGATTAAAAACACATAAGTGTTTTTAAAATGGATGAGAATCAAGTTTTCATACAAGATCAAATTAATCTTTACGCATCTCTGTTTTATCGACTTTAACATTTTTATTACTCGTATATACTTTGGTTTCAATATTTTTACTTATTCTATTAGATTTAGGCATTATTACTATTATTATTATTGCTACTGCAAAGTTTACATATATAGTCCCTTAAATATTCATGCGTGATCTCTCTCCGTACAGTTGTAGTTTTAAAACAATTAGCAGCGCTAAAACTGAAAATACACTCTGACACACACACACACACACACACACACAAAAATATATATATATATATATATATATATATATATATATATATAGAACCCAGAGGGAAATCAACTACTATAATTAAACTTAACATGTATGTACTGTATGAGGAGATAAACAAATGATTACAAATTCAGAACAAAAGATTGTTTTGTTAAGAAGTTATGGCATGAAAAAGGTTACAAATTAGTAAGTAATATAGCCACCTCTGGCAGCCTAAAGATGAAACACGGTGTGGCATCGAATCAAGTAGGTCAGCTAAGAGCGCCTGAGGAAGATCATACCATAATCTTTCCAACTGGGCAGATAATTCATCAATATTCCGGAATGACTGCAGTTGCCTTCCAAACGTGTCCCAAACGTGCTCTATTAGAGAGAGGCCTGGTGACCTGGCAGGCCACGAAAGTACGTCATATTCTTGAAGAAATTGTTGGAATAGTCGCGCAGTATGTGGAAGAGCATTGTCTTTCTGATAAAGAGCACCTGGGCGACTTGCTGGCAAAGGCATTACAACTGGCGTTAAAATGTCATCCACGTAACTGCGAACCGTTATAGTGCATTGAAGGATGAACAGAGGTGATCTGTGTTCCACTAAACCGCTCCCCACACAGTCACATCTTGTGTGATAGCTGTGTGCCGCTCGACAACAAATGCTGGAGCAGACCGCTGGCCTGGCCGCCTCCACACGCGTGTGCATTGCTCATCAGCACGAGATTGAATCTGAATTCATCACTGGAGATCAGACGCCTCTAGGCGGGCCCACTCCAGCTTGCCGAGTTCGGCAAAAATTCAGTCAACACTGCCAGTGATGTGGCGTCAATGGTAGGCATCTTAATGGACGTCGGCAGCATATACCAGCGTAGGCCAGTTATCTCCGAATACTATGCATTGATACCACCGGATGCCTGCAAAGTGGCAAATGGCGTCGAAGCGATGCAAGCGACGTTGTTGGTGCGACGTTGTTTATGATTGCACGATCCTCGCGCTTATTTGTGTTCCTGGGACGCTCTGATCCTCCGGCCGCCCGTTACATCTCAGAAGCATCTCTAGTCACAATACCTTCCATCTAAGTCGTCAGATTCGTTTGAACAGTGCTATGGCACGGGCAATCATGCTTTTAAACTCTGCCAGTTGCGCATCTCATATGCTCATAGAGTACTTACCCTTGTTTCAATGGCGTTGAAAATTTAAATCATTTGCCTATCTCCTGCCGAGTTTCGTGAATGTGACTCGATTTCTTCTGGATGCATTTTTTTTTTTTTTTTCGTGTGTGTCGTGTGTGTGTGTGTGATATAGTGTATAACCAGTTATAACTAACCTTCACAAGTGGAAACGAGGAGCATTGGAACTAAAATATTTAAAGCACCAGCCCTAGTTAAAAATGGAAAAAATGTTAAAAAACAAAATGAAGAAGAAATCTGCAATCAATGTACGTTGAAATAAATAATTAATTTCTTCAACATAGCATACACCTAAAATATGTGGATATCAACTAAATATTCCTGCTTCACCTCCACTGAAAAATATTCCAACCTCCAACATATTTTATTTTTGTACTTTAATTTTCCAATAAGTCAGGATTAATTAAAGATTACGCATTTACATAATTATTAAATGTTTATATAAACAAAATCAGAAAAATTTGCCCCCCCCCAAAAAAAAGGGGGGTTAAGGAAAAAACTCCCGTTTTCGAACCACTTGTGGTATAAAATAAGATAATAGATGTTAAATTGAGCATCGGGATTAGCAAATGGTAATGAGAATAAAGTAATATACTTCATTTAAGGCATCATTAAGAGACGCTGGCTTATTCTTATAAAAATGTTTTGATTTTTTACGTTTGTTTATTTTGTATAATACATAGTTGGTTTATAATCATAGGTTTCTCACACGTATCTCTTACTAATTCATATTTCATTTTTATACTTGGAAGCCTTAGGGTTTGCTAGTGTAAAGCAAACAACTAAATGCTAAGAAACATGGATCAAATATAGCAAATATTTTGTTCAAGCCATTTAAACTTATCAATTTTACCTACAACTAAGAAGTTGGAAGTCTTTTACGATCTACTACAAATGTGACCTTAAATAGTGTTAATACAGACGATGCGAGGTCTAAAACAGCCATACCTTTCTTCACGATTGAAATAACAACAATTATTGTCTTTCATTCAAAGCCTAAGACCTAGTAAATCGTTTAGTGATTGAAAATGATTACTTTTCTTTTATACGACTCTTGTCAGGACGGTTACAGCCGAAAACATCGAGGAGAAAACAACGCTGGGCAAAAACGTCGTGTTACAGAACATCATGGGAAAAAATAAAGCGGTTCAAAGACTTCGCAGTTTAAAAACATCGTCGTCGAAAACATCGTGGTAAAAAATAAAGTACTACATATCATCGCATGACGATAATATCGCACACATGCGTTTTTCAAATCCCATACTGACATAGTATGTAACTAACTTTCATCGTAACTAACAAATCGACATCCAAAACATAGATTGCACGCTATACATGAAAATGTCAACGACACTTTAAGAATAAACGGAAACAAAATAAAATATAATTTTCACTGAAAATATCAGATTAACAAAAGTGAAAGAAAATACTTTGATAATTAACTAAGCAACTTTTACAGGGGTAACCTTATGCGGTTATTTATCTTCCTAAGTATTTTTAGACTATATTTTTATAAAAATTATCAATCAATAAAACTTTATGAAAAAAAGGTTAATTTATTATTGACCTTTGTTAATTAACTATGTTAAAAATTTTTTTTTATTATGTTTTGAATGCGAAAGTTTCCTTCTTATTTTTTCAGCAAAAATTTATTAGTTCATTCAAAAATATGAAATATGGAAGTAAAAAAGTCCTTTTTCCTTTCTTGTGCTCCAAATCATTATGAAACATGCATTACAACTTTAAAACCTGAAACGCATGTTATTATCACGCATGATTTGTGACTATTACTTTTTTTACCACGAATTTTCGACGACGATGTTTTAAATGCGAAGTTTTGAATCGCTTATTTTCGACCACGATATTTTGTACCACGATGTTTTAAAACCGATGTTTTCTCTTTGCCTTCTTTTCCTTGTATCACAACGTTTTCGCCTTGCGTTGTTTTCTCAGCGACGTTTTCGTCCGCGATGTTTTCGGCAGACACCGTCAGGACCTTATCAAGCTATCGAAGAAAGATTTTGCACTGAGACAGCCACTTGCAATTCAAAGACGATCACATTAAAATATTAATCATCGAATTTTCTGTTTTTAAATTTTAGCCTTTACCAAGAAAAATATTTCTCTTGATATAAATGAAATTTAATGAAGTAATTAAATTTAAACTGCCCAGATTCAGTTCTCTCATCCCTAATGTTTTTCAGCATAATTTTTAATCTTAAATTTTACTTGATCTGAATTATCTTAATTTACTGTAAGTACTTCTAGACATTTAATGGAGATTTCGCCAACGTTTAATCATTTAATATTTATACTTTATTTTATTTTAATCAATAAATGATATACATTAATAAGTTTAGCTACGCCAAATTATGTAAATGAGTTATTAATGGTTATTTTTATCAAATTTTAAAAGCACTTAAAAGCTTTCCTTTCCTACTCATTTTTCTCAGTCTAAAAATGTAAGAAAATTAACATTTAAACTATATTAAAACTATTGACCAAAGAAGATAAAATTTAGAATATCTAATTAAATATTAGTATATTTTACATCATAATTTAAATATGAATAGTACAATAACGCATCCTATAGTAAATTAAAGTCAACTTAAAATTCTTTTGAAATGGCGTTGAAGCACAGGGCAGAAATCTCCCGTGCTTTACATATTTCAAGTTTGAAAGCTAGGATATACTTTCTTTTTTTTATTTCAATTATTATACGCTTTTAATTTATTTATATTTCTATTTAGAATGAAATGCTACAGATGTCTGTAGAAGTCACTGAACTCGCAAAAGCATCGTTTGCAAATATCTCTTTGCAAAAAAGCAAATTCCGAATTCTAATTCAAAGTAATTTCTTATCAGTTTTGGCACTTTGGATCTCATCTCAAATGTTAATTAGAAATCAAATCAAAAGAAATTTTTTCATCTCACGGCATGATCTCGTATTACGGATAACTTTACTTCACAATTGCATTTGGCAATATAATAGTAATTTAAATTCAGAAAATAAATTTACTTTGCAAATTTTTACCTCAGGTAGTTAAGATTCACTCATAAACATTATAAAAATGACTGAGGTTTTAAATATTTACCTGTAAAAATTGTGATGGAACTTGTTGTAGCTACCCAGATTAATCACTGATCCAAAGCCAATTCCAAATGTAAAGAATACTTGAGTTCCAGCAGCAACCCATACCTTCCAAAGATACATATATATATATGTAAGGTAGAAAATATATAACTACGAATCATACATTAAATTAGCAATAGCCTCTTAATTACTCTTTTTAATTTGGGCACTTCCCCCTCTGTATTACCAAAATAGTAATAGTTCTTTCGAAATTGCGTCATATCTGAAAACTAATTCCGCATTATGTCATACCGACCTTCTGCATTGCATTTAGTTCTTAGTCAATCCGCTTAAAGACAAGTTTTACTATAAATACCACTGCAATCCAACTACACTCTCTCTTTCGAGCTTCTTTCTTGCTCTAGCTTCCATGTGCCGCTCGGGTCGCTGTATCATTCATCGTTTGAAGATGGGCTAAGTTTTAAAATTATGGGGTACATACTGCACCCATCATTTTACATGAAGCACATATTGTGTCTCCGAACTGCTTTATTCATTGATACAATTATGTCGATAAAGCAATTTGGTTACGTCTGTCTGCCAGTCCATCATTTCCATCTATACGCCTCTGTCAGTCTATATGCGCAGTTTGGGACTCAGCAAGTCATTCATACCATCAAATCATTAGATATATAGAGCAAAATGTTCAGGTAAATAATAATATAAAAATAAGGAATATTATCATATTTAAAAAAAGCCACAGTACGCATTTCAAGTTTCATGTTGAACATAGCTAAATGTATAACGTGAGAAATATTTAGATTCACTGAGAAATAGTTAATATATTTATTAAATAAACGTGGCATTAAGTAATAAAAATGTTCGTTATCTACTCATAGTCTCTGAACCTGCCAAATAGCCGAAGAACGTATGCAAGACAGTTAATTGTTTGAAAGCACATTTATAGACATTATGTTGATAGCAATATCATTAGACGTATAATCTCGAGTTTATTTAATATTACACTGCAGAAAAAGTAGCCAACAATGTTTTGTCTAAGTTAGAACAGTAAAGGGATAACAAAATATATAGTTTACATACCTTAGGCTCACATAATTTAGTAAAATCTGGAGTGATGAAGAAAAGTAATCCATCCAAGGCTCCATCCAAAGTCAGCCCTCTAATTAATAGCACTGTCAGAATTACGTATGGAAAGAGAGCTGTCACGTATATAATCTAAATTCAAACCAGGTAGAATACCAAAAAAAACGTTTAAATAAAATGGTATATGTGGTCAAAAATAGTTTAATTAAAAAGTAATGGATAAAATAAAATAATATTTAATACTGGTAACGGAAGAGAAAATTGTGGGGAAAATATTGATGCTCCTGGAAAGAAACTATTTTTATCTCTCGAAATGGAAGAAAGTACAAAGGAGCTTTAAAAGAAAGTTAGTTCTATTTTTAAGAAGCTAGCAGTAAATGAAACAAAATATGAAGAAACAGAAAACAAAAAGTTAGGAAAGAAACAATGTTCGCAAACTCCGAAGCGAAACATATAATAAGTTTCTATTTTGATGGGAAGAATACATGAAAAAATAATAATCAAAATAAATTCTAATACATCGTTAAATAAATTCTTACAATAAAAATATATCGTAATAAAATCTCGTAATCTAAATCGCAATCTAAATACGTCGTAAATAAATTATTTACATCAAACACAGTGCCACTTCTAACAATGCATCTGATATATTTATAAATTCCCTTTAAGAAGTTAAAAAGAATAATTTGCCTCTTAAGATATTTTCATTTTAATAGTACTCTAATATTGATTCATGTATAGCAGAAATTCAAATATCCAAACTAATTCGAATTGTAGGTTTTTCAAATATTCGAAAAACAGGACGACTTCCTTTTACCCTTAATTTGACTCTATTTTTATCCGTCAGTTTGACTAGTATTTGCTGTAGAAAAGCAAGATAATTTTATTTCACCAAAAACTTAAACAATTAAAACAATGCAATATTTTTATTTCCGTAAAATATAATGAAAAATATACTATTTCCCGAAAAAACTAAACAAGAAATTTCCTTTGTGCCCAAACACAGTTCGTTTTATTTGAATTAAAATCAAATAAAAATACTTTTTTTTATTTATGAATGTCTTAGAAGTAAATATATGATTTTATATTTATTTTTAATGTCAGTAAAAAAAGGAGTTTTTTTAATCTTTCAAAAATAAAATGCCTAATCTAACTTACCTAAAATATATTAAGATAATGTATTATTATTTTCACGTCAAGTAATAAAATAAACAATGCAAATAAAACATAGCTCCTTAAATATGTATTATGAAAATGTATATAAAGAATGTATATATTAAATTTTATATTATTTTATATGTATTACATTATTTTTTAATATTATTACTTTACCATCAATAAAAAACTAAATACATGTAAACTGAATTAAAAATATTACATTTAAAGTTATTTAAAACAAACAATTCGAATACTTGAATTTAGGTATAATCTGCAGTCCGGATTACTGAGTTCTGTAACGTTTTCAATAGTTTCATCCTTATGAAACTTTTTAATTTTAATAAAACAATTTTTATGAATTATTTTCACGCTATTCTAGCACAAATTCTGATAGCCATAGTTTTTGTTTGTTTGTTTGTTTTGTTTTAACGATTAGCTCTGCTACAAGTCGCAGGAAAGGATACATGAAAAAACGAAGTCCTTGATTCATGAACGTAACTGGGACTAACAAATGCATAAGTTAAGACATCTGCCAAAAATTTAGTCTGATTAAAAAATCCGCTGAGGTAACGCTCGAAAGAATATTATTTATATAGGCCTTTTGCTTGTAACCATACTCATTTAAAAATGCATTGTTAAGCATTTTGTATATTTGTAAATAATTTTAGTGATATTATATGTGAAACTGTGGTACCTTTTGTATAATGTAACATGAAAAGTCTGAAGAGAGCGAAGCTCTGCCAAAAAGCAAGATTACGGGGACAACTCTATTTAATAATGAGGTAAATGGTTGTGAGATAACGTTAAGCTGGTAATGGTTTTGTCGACTAATTTGTGTCGCCACATTTTGCGAAAAATCACCAAAGTCGCCAAATCTGGTGACCATCTAACAAAATTTTGGTCCGGTCTCTGTATAACTGTAATTGGTATATTAATTGAATAACTACGATTGATCCTTATATGTAACTGTAACCGTATCGGGCCCTTATATGTAACTTTAATCGTATATGCCTTCCAGTAATTTCGAGGAATGGAAGGTACTAGAGATTTCTCGGTGGCCGGCGGTAACTATGTAAAACCGGAGAGAGCAGCAGTTCCCAGTTTTTAATTCAGAGCTAACTTGAGTTGAGAGATAATGCGATTGAGTGTTGAGAGATAATGCCAGCTTCGCTCTTTGGGATTAATAATCTGTTGCGCTGTGTTGTGTTTAACGTGATAAGTAGTTTGAAAAGGTAATTATTGATTATACTCTGTCATACTAAGAATAGCTATACGAGTACTTTTGTAGTTCTAGAACTGTAAAGTGTTTCTTTTGGGAAATTAAATTGTATCCAGCTATCATCGGTTCTGTGAGCATTAAATCCACTACGAGCCCGTACACACGCAACAGATTATTAATCCCGTTGCTGAACTGAAATAATTGATGCATGTAAATAAGAATTAAAAGATAAAATGAAAGGAAAATTTGTATGCATTATAAATTTTATTACTGAAATATGAATACAAATACCTTTAAAAAAAGCACTTTTACAGTCCTGGCGCCTTCTATAGTTATGAGTTTAAAGAACATAAGTGATGAAGCTTTGCGAAAAGGCACCTTCTGTCTTTACTGCTGAAGGTGCCAAGCTTCTCGCACCCAATGGTTCATAGGCGCGCTTTTAAGAGACTAGATCAAAATCATATGGAATGCCCGTCAATAAGCATAAGATGCGTAATTTTGCCACGAAGAAAACTGCCATAACCTAACTGATAAATAGTTCAAAACAGAACGACTTTTATCAGAAACTACATTTATTCTTCAATCCTTTATGTAGAGTTTCTTTCTCTCTTTCATTCTATTTTTTAAAAATTATTTTAATTATATAAGATTACGAATTGGGACGATGAATCGCAAATAGTATTCAGCTGGGAAATGTTTCTTCGATTGCAATGAAATTTAAGGCAAAATTTCACCACAACAGTTACTTTCTTCAAAACAAGCAACTGCCTGATTCTAAAATCTCAAATCTTCTCCATTTTCTTTTCAAAAAATTCTTCCAGTTGATCAGCAACGCAGAATACTTGCAAAATTTGAATACTGTACATCTACCTTTAGAAATGTTTTTTTTTTTTAAAGAACGCTTATAATCATTTATAAGGGACAACTGTCAAATTTCTATAAAAATTGTAATTTTCCTTCGATACTGTAAAATACTGGGAAGTTCGTATACTGGAAAATTTTCGAGTTCTTTGGTCAGGTCAGTCTTTGCATGTATCTCATTTGTAGCATCAAATTCGTTTCTAATGTGTACAAAATTAGAAAATTTTCGTTGGTCAAGGTTGTTGCAGCTGAAAGATCCAAATTTGATAGTTCAGTACTACTATTTTTCATAAATTTACAGCTTTTATCAAATATTTATTTACCTTTCCACTCTGATGAAGTCCCTTCCATATGATGAAATAAACAAAAATCCAGGCTACAATAAGATAAAGGGCAAGCTCCCAACGAATTATTCCAAGTGTTTCAATTCCACTAGTTATTCCAAGTACGCGTCGTCTGAAACGAGAAAATTTTAATGTAAGGAGGAATATATAAATATTTATCAATGATTTTAGTTACATCATCGCGTGAAAGAACAAAAACATAATCCTTGTATCTTACTGTTCAGTATAAATACTAATACTAACAGCAACAGCAAGAAGAATATAGAAATAAAATTATCTGAAAGAATAATAAATATTTACGTAATAAGCATTTGATAAAGTAACCCTAAATATTTGCATTGTGAATATTCACTAAAATAATAATAAATACTTCATACTAAATAATGAATAATAAATCTATAATAAATATTTATAGGTAATCGTAAAAAGGAAAAAGAAAGCTTCTCAGCACAGCCTTCAGTTTAGCGTATGCTTTTAGCCATTCACGAACTGATGTTCCTGTTCCAGTACTTTAGACGATGTTTACCTCCTTGCGTGAAATACTTCGTTTTATTAGATTTATTAATTTAAAAACCATTACAATCTATTCTAATATATTCATAGTAAAAAATTTAGGACAATTTTGAATCGCAAACAAATATTTCACCAGAAAGGGGAAAAAACCTCCTAACCTACCCTACACATCTACCAAATTTCCAGAAACTGTTACTTGCTCCAAAGACTAGTGCGCGAATTCCAACTCAAGCAGCCTATCAAGTACTATTTGGTTGTAACGAAAGTTTTCCGTCAAAAAACGTTATTAATGAAGTTTTAGGGGGGGGAAATAAAAGCACGAAAGCAGTACCATTAATGCGAGTAGCAACCACCACCGAAATTTATAATTTTCTGCCAACGTTTTGGTAGTTTTTTAAAGCCTTTGGCCAGAAACGTGGTGGCTGCATATCCAAAACACATCAACCTCATTTCGGATTGCATATTTCACAAGTGCACATCAGCGTAGCCACTGAGGGAGAGGTTTCGAAAATAGACCAATGAGCTTCTATCGCTCTTGTGATGCTAAAATTTCGTGCATGTGAGCGTAAGTTTACGTTTTAATTTGCATTTGTTTCGCAGTTATAAATGTATGGCGTAATAGTAGAAAATATCGTAGTTCTTTCGTTTTTATAAGTTTAATTAATCGCTGACATTTCGCTTTCGCGATTTTTATCACGCATTAATGTGTTTGGATTGATGTTTACGGCGTATTATCGCTCTTTACATCGAAAAAAATGACTCAAGCTACAATTACCATCGAATATTACGTATTTACTAACATCTGTGGATTAAGAGAATTTAAGCGTATATATATATATATATTTTAATTGAGCTGAGAAGGACTGGAAGTGTTACAATGAATCTAGTGTTTTCTTATTTCAGTGCTTGCATTCTTTTGGTTTTTAAAGTAAGATTCAGAATACATATTGTGTTTAATCTGATTATATCCATTGTTAATATTAAAAGTTATATGTGAATAAACTGAATATATTTGTTGTGAATAAGATAAATTCATTCTGTTTGATGAGTATTTCTTGTGTAAAAAGTACATTTAAGAATGGGCAGTTATTAAATGTGAAATTTAACACACTAAATGAATACGAATGCCAATTAGTAAAGTTTACTTAGAATAAAATTCTGCATTGGCTATTAATTATAGAAAATCTTTTTAATATAGACTGCAATAAAAAGTGCTGATTTTTATTTACATATGCAATTACATATACCAATTAGTGTAAATATTTTTCTCACATGCATACTTTTATGCATAAATATAGCATTTGGGCTCAGATGTTTATTCACATATTCTTTTTTCATTTTATTTACCACTTATTAAATAATATTTCACATAAATACTTTTGCGGAGTATCCAACATGTGTTTGTATTTATTTCAAATTCTTTCAACCAGGTAGTGAAATCTTCACAATTGCTTATATTTGATCTAACTTCGCAATGAAAATTTTCAGAAGAAATCGACGATGCATTTGTACAGAAAATTACGTGACAAAATATTTTCAACCATCTTGCTTGAATCTTAAAGCACGCGAAAGGTCATGTGACATGACAGAAATATTATTGTATTCCCATTGGTCCATCCTAGAAGCCACTCCCTCGGTGGCTACACAGATGTGCTCTTGTGAAATATGCTTTCGGATTTCCTGTGCAGAATGGAAGATAGCACCAGCAAGATGTAGCTGCAGGTGTGAAAAAAGGTAAAAGTCCGAAGGAGCGATGTCGGGGCTATCATCATCATAATAGGGCCACAGCCCTGATCCTCTTAGCCGGCACAAGCCGGCCATATAATCAAAAAATGGGACAGGTCAGAAAAAAATAAAGAATAATAATGAAAAAACATATAAAAGTCCAAAATCTGAGTCTCAGTGCCGAATTCCAATTCTATCTTTGTTCGTATTTATAATCTTCATTATTGTCTCTGCAAAATCTTTCAAATTTAAATAGTTCCTTTTAAAACCTTCTTTGAAATTCTTTCTATATTTCTCTCTTGCACTCCGGTAAAGCGTACATTCATCGTCAAAGTGACTCGCGTCCCCAAACGTATCACGTATTAAGCATTTATCATTATTCTGTAGATGGAACCGATTAAAATAAGCCGGAAAACGCCCATGATTAGTCAGTACCTGATTTATATCAACATTATTTATAATATTCATCTTCTTGTTTAACTTAATATTTTTCATTAACTCTTTTTTCTTATTAGACGACTCCCAGCGAAAACTTCATTTTGTATAAATCCAGTTTTCCATTTCAGCAATGGTCTTTTTTCTTGAAATCTTGGATATCAAAATTATCGGTCCCATTCCTAAGTGCCGCCATTTTAGCAAGGGTGTCCGTCTTTTCATTTCCGACAATTCCACTGCTTTCACCCAGTGTACTTTAACTGGGCACTGATTAAAATAATAATAGTTGAATTTAAAATTTAAAAGAAAGATAGTAGCCAGAAACTCGGTTCAACTCGGTTAGAATCTTGATATCTTCGGCTATATCTCTTTAGTTTAGATTAGTTTTAGTTTGCTTCTTAGCCTCTTACGTTCAAGCCCGAATGTCGACTTTTATTGTACACTCCAAGACGGAGTTCTGTTAAATCTTATTTGAATAATAAAGAGTTATTTACCCTTCTGTCTTGTTGTTTCTTGTCACACGAACTCAAGCGATTATTCGTTTATTAACATTTACATTCGTTTATTAAATTTGTAACTTAGCATTTACAAAGTGAGGAACTTTGCAGTTATATTGAGAATACCTTATATTGAACTATTAACTCTATTGAATCATTACAATTCTATTGATTATGTTTGAAACAACTACACAGTGGCGATATTACTACTAACCGTGGTTATTCATTCTTCCAAATTAAATACCATTTAGCATGAATAGGAAACAGACGTATAATAGAATGTCATTCACTTACACCCTCTTCTGGGGAGAGACACAGGGATGAGACCTTAAAAACACCAATAGTCCTTTTATCTTATAAGGTATTTCTCCCGCCTTCTTAACGAGCCTTTGTGGTGTAGTGGTCTGCACGCTCAGCGCGTAATTGAGAGGTCGGCGGTTCGATTCCCGGCAAAGGCGTTGTATATTTTTCATCTTGCCTGATTCCAAAAAATATCTAATGTCTCTACAATGGCGCCCGAACTAAAAGGGTGTTGGGTGATGATTCTCCTCACCCAGGATTTGGCGATTGGGTCCCCTAAAAACCCCAGTCTCCCTTTCAAAGGGGGAGTATATGAGGTATTTCTCCCGTCCTAGCGTGCCTTCGTGGTGTAGTGGTTCTGCACACTGGGCCGGTATCCAAAGGTCAGTGGTTCGATTCCCGGCGAAGGCAATTGCTCATTTTTCATCTTAACTGCTTCCAAAAATACCTTATGTCTCTACAACCACTTTATCTTAAAAACACCGATAGTCTTCAGCTGGATATGCCTAAACATTGCACTGACTAGGTCACTATGGCAGGCAAGTATACATCATACCAACATCTTATTTCAGTGTCCTTTGTGGTCACTGTATACAGGATGATTAAAAAAAAATTACAAATATACAAGCTACGAACCCTTGGTGACCGCACGCTTCAGTGAATCGAAATGAAATTCGAAATATATGGATTCCAAAGTGTTTAGTACTTTTTGTTACCAAACGAATTACTAGTGTGTCTTTGCAACAATAGATGGCGTTGCTGCCTGATGATCCAATTCTGGTTGCTATGGTAACGAACTTTCAACTCATAACTTATGTGATTTGTATTCTATTCCTTTTTTTTTTTTTTTTTTTTAAATTGCTACAGTGCTAAGAGTGAAGTGAGCTGTGTCGTCACGTAGACGGCATTCCTTCTATTTGAAAGTGTTATGTAAAATAAATAACTGATATTACAGTCCGCTTACCTTGTTTTTGTGAATTTATTCTTAACATTCCTTGGTCCGTAGCGACTGGCAGAGAAGAGTTAGCGAGCTTTGGATATGATGTGATTTATTCAGATATTAGCAAGTTAAATCACTTTCTATTTGTGGATTAATAATCAGCTTAGTGTACTTTCGATTCGGTTTGTGGATTATGCGTGTGGCATCTGTGGTGAAATCAGTTTCGATTTGTGGAATATTCCCGTGGCATGGTGTAGCGTAGAAACCTCAACATAGGGGTGAGTACGTTCCAATATTTCATCTTCTTTTGCTAGAGTTGTTAGTATAATATTTATTGTTATTCATAATGGCTGATTTGAAACCAGTTTTAACTAAAAAGAAGGTTCTAAAAAGCAATAGGCTAGTGTAGATAACAATACGAATATTTCTAAATGTCAGAAGTTTCAATATTTAAAGGCTTCTTGTAAAAAAAAGGCTCTGTCTATTATTGAATCAATTCCTATTTCTGATGCTAATTATGATATAGCGTTGCAACTTTTACAGGAACGTTATTCTAATAAAAGAGAATTGACTAATGCATTAATCCGTAAAATGTTTAATTTGCCAAATGTTTCTGATTCAGATCAAGCTATTTTACATTGTGTTTATGTAGTGAATGAATGTGTACGCTCTTTGAGAACTCTTAAGCTAGAAGTTTCTGAT